GGTGGGTGGGGGATGGGGGAGTGGACTGGAAGAGGAGGAACAGGCTACCGGGCTAGGGAGATGCACAGAGAGCAGGGGAAATTGACCAACATGCCCACCGGTTACCCAATTTCAGATTTGGGTGTCAAAAGGAAAAGGTGAGGACAAAAGGGGTCTTTTGCGCCGGGAGGGTGTGCGCGCTCTTTGGAAAGGCCTTGGGGTGAGGGGTTTGGGGGCTTCTCGTCACCCTCGGGGGCCCTGCGCGCCCTGCCTGGCTAGGGTCTGCCCAGCCATCCCCAGCGCCCAATTCCGGCTCGGGTGGCCGCCCGGAGGACAACCGAGAGGCAGAAGGCTGCTTCAGCCAGCCTCGGGGCAGGGCAGGAGGAAGCTCCGGGTCCCTCGCTTCCCTTTTCTTGCAAGGGGGCTTCTTGGGGCTTGGGAATGGTCTGGCCGTCTGCTTTATCGGCTTGGTTCATGCAATTCCGGACAGCCCACGCCGGCCTTGCAGGCTGGGAGCCCGGGATCGGGGGTCGTAGGGGTCGGCACCCAGGGCTGGGCCCCTATCTTGGGGTTCACATCACCGATGAAAGCGTTCAGCGTTCTCAACTCTCAAGTTGGAAGACCCTTAAGTTGCTTTGAAAAGGATATTACATGCGACAATTCCAGGTCCAAGTGGCCTTTATTTTGTTTGAGTTTTCAGTTAGCACGTTCCAGAAATGACCCTCGTCTTTAGGAGCCACGGCTAATCAGTGTTTCCCCAATAGCTGGTTCGTTACCGGTTCGATCACAAACCCTGGCTTTTCTTTGCTTGATTCGCTGGGGTGCCGCAGCTCGCGGCAAAAGCCGGTCTCCTGGCGCTAATAGCCGCGAGCCAGGCAGACTGCGCGGCCCTCCCGTCTCGGAGCTCTAGATGGCGCCCGCGAGCCGCACTCGCCAGGCTCCTCTTAGGGGAATCAAGAGCTACTGTCAAACATAAAAGCAAATCAGAGTTTTCAGTTTTTTTAATGTGTTAAGAATGTTATTCCTTAAGAAAATTTGTAGCTAAATTATTCTCACTTAAAATAAACACTTAGTATACCAATTACACAAATGGGCGGGATTTATGTGAGATTTACTTCATCTGCATTTTTGTAGTGGAAGAGAGCTTTGGTGAATACAGATAATAGATGCAAATAAGATTAGAGTTAAAATAAATAAGTTTCCATCTGAATAAAAAGAAATTCAATTTTATACGACTTGTAACGATTTAACGGAATGTCCAGACACGCCATTCAGGTGCACAATTTAATCTCGTCAAACTAATGCTGTTTTCCCTCCTTTAAAGGAAAGAAAATCTTTCTTTCTCTTTTTCTTGTTTCCTTTTTCCTCATCAGGTACGATCCAGGTCACTCCACCGGGAGAAAGGAGTGTCAGAAAAGAAACCGCAGGGGGAGGGTGGGGAATGGGCTGGGTAGGCGCGGGGCCGAGGAAAGCTTGGTCTTGGTTCTTCTGTTGTACAGGAAGCTACAGAACAGGAACTCCGGAGAAACTGGCTGAAACGAAATCGCCTCGCCTCTCACCCCAGCCGGTGCCACTCGGGGACCCCCATGCCTCGGACCCCTTCCGTCACGGACCTCCAGTCCCTGGTCCTCATCTGCTGTTGGGGTCCGGGCTGCAGCGTCAGTCTCCTCCGGGCCCCTGAGCTAGAGAGGCCCAGGCCGCCAGGGCCCGGGGGTGGCACTGGGGACGCGGCCCCGCCTCAGTTGGGGACCGAACTCATGTCCTTGTTCTTGGGTTCTCTCAGGCGCTCTCTCTGCAGTTTGCTCGGCCCCTGGTGGTCGCTAGCCACTCGCTTGGGTCAAGGTTCCCCGCGTCCCCAGGGGCGCCTAGGACTGCGGGGGAGGGGCGGGAGTGGGGCTGGGGTGTGTTTTCGCCTCTTGGTTTGGGCCCAGAGGCGGGGGCCTAGCTCCCTCGGATTCAGGTTGTGCGCGTTCGGGTCTCCAGGCTGGACGCTCGGGCAGGGAACACCTCCCTTCGTCCCCAGGAACCTAGGTGATGGACGTCCCCTGACCCGCGGGGGCAGGGGCAGCGCGCAGAGAGGCCTTGATCACTGGCCTGCGGAGGGAGCTGCGCGGCCAGCGGGACCTGCACTGCCAGGCCCTTTGATCTGCCTTTATTATCAACCAGAAACAAAGCTCCTTGGGCCCGACGCCCGGGCGCCCTCATTCCTCGGGAAGCCTCACCACACCCTCCGCTCCGCGCCGCCAGCCGGCTGCCCCCGAACGCGCCAGGCACCCTCGGGGCCTCCAGCGTCGCGGCCCAAAGCCCCCAGAGTAAACGCACCCTGCCAGCTTCTCCAGAAGACCAGACCCGGACCCGAAGGCGCCTGGGGAGTGCAGGGTCCCGGTTAGGAACAGTTTGAGCCGGGACAGAAAATGGCCAAAGTAAAGAAAACCTGGGGGAAGAAGAACCGGGAAGCCGAGCCTGCGGGGAGAGCAAAAAAAAAAGAGGGAAGAAGCCGCTCACTGGACCTCACCCTGCAAACGCCCTGCTGAGGACCTGCGTTCTGTTTTATCGCTACTTTGCTGCTGGGCTTTTAAGAGCAGTTTGCGAGAGAACATTTTGTTGATGAATAACTATTTTTTTTCTTTCCTAAAAATCAAAACCTTCACTCACGCTCCCAAGACGGACAATAATCAAAAAAAGAAAAAAAAAATGCTATTGCTACTGACTTCGCTTGTATTTCCTCTCATGTGGGAAGCCTTTTAGAAATATTTTTATTCTGTAAATATGTACTTCATTTTCTAAATTAACATTTTTTGCGAATTGCAAAATTATCTCTTTTGCCAATTTTCTTTTCGTCTCACCCTCTTTTCTCCCTATTTTAGACTGGGGCTGTTAAGTTGGTGGTCAGAAGACAAAGAGAGGGAAAATAATTTTCATTTCAATAATTGCCTTCTGGTCAATTTAACTGTGCCTTATTTTGAAAGAGACTGTCTAAATGAGATTCCTGTCCCAAACGTGTTCCCAGGCCTGATCCCAGCCTTTAATTATTCCTGAGTTTTTTTCTTCAGAATAAGACGCCGCACTGAGTAATCACAAAGAAGTCAGAGAGCATCCTTGAACCTTTTCAGAAGCAGCGCCACTGATATTCAAATAACCTGCGAGGGCCATTTGCTGGCGCGGGGACCTAGGCATTTCCAATTCACTATTTGCATAGATCAGCCGTCTTTGAAAAGGAAAGGAGCAGTTGTCTTCCATAACATTAAAAAGCCTAGTTATCAAATCAAGTGCTTAGTTTGGGGGCTTTTAAAACGTTTACATTTTATCTCAGGTTGCCCTTTACCGTTTGACATGCAAATTTGGTGCAGTTAATTTAGACAATTAAAAAGATCTTCAAGGGAGCTTTGTCACAGAGAATATTTGGAGTTTTCCCCGCGGACCAGCTGAGATAAAGTTGGCCAGAACAAATGATGTCTAGGAGATTAATTAGATATTTGATAAGACATGAATCCCTAATAAGGGAATACAAGGCACAGGGGGCTGCTGTGTGCTCTAAGTCAAAATTAATAACATTTAACAAGATTTTCATTTAGGCATGAAATGTCTTTTCCGGGGTATTGACTCTAGCGATTTATTCCCCTGAGTTGCCTCCCAACCTAGAGGGCCTTGGAAGCTAAAAGACTTCTCTTTCAAAAGCTTCTTCCTTTCGCAGACTGTTTTTAAAAAGAGATTTTAAAACAAACAATCCCACCAGAGTTTTCTCTGACCCCTCCGGGAGGTGTAAACACCTCCTCAGTTAAAGCTACTAGGATTTTTTTTTTTTATTTTTTAGGTGCTCCGGAGTTTTAAAATTTCACCTTTTGAGAGCATTCCCATTAAGTAATACAACTACACATTCTTATAACCCAATTTAATTTAGACTGTTGATATACAAATAAATAATTTTGACTTCTCAAAAACGTATATGTATTATGGCTTTTATAACCCACATAAACTTTACATTACCTACAACTAACATTAAGGGAATTTATTTTTTCCCAACAAAAAAGTCAACCCATGTAAAGGTTATTGAGGGGGAAACAGGATTTAAAAAAAAAAAAAAAGAAGTGTATTGTTCAGAGTCCTTTAATAATACCAAAATGAAAATATGATGTCAAGATTTTCTTCATACAGATAAACGCATTTAATTTCTTTAGATGACTTTAACTTACGTGTTTGTGAGTGAAATGATAACTCAACATTTTAAATATCTTTTACATATATACTGACTTTCACAAAGTGCATCAGAAAATTAAAAAAACTCCCTGAATTTCAGGAATTCACCAAAAAAACTCTATTCGAATGAACATTTACAAGAAAATAAGAGAACACAATCTTTTGAACCCTATTTATACAGATGTTATGAAATACAGAGAAACTGTCGCTAGACTTCCAGTTTTAATTTCTCACCTTAAGCCTTTTGATGCTTCCCTTTTTTTTTTTTTTAAGGAAAAAAGTCTCACTGTAAGTAGATATCAAGCAGGACTTGGAGCATTTTATATATAATCCACACAAAGGGTGTTGTATAGGTCCCGTTTGTTTTCGTATGTTCTGACGGTCCTTTGCTGGGTGTTGGCTGGTTTGGGGGAAAAGGAAAGAGAAGGGCAGTGGAGCGAGGTGGGCAGTGGGAAGGAGGGAGCCTTTCTGTGTATTGCTCTTCGCTCGAGAAGTTTGGGCGAGTGCCGTGTGTATGTGCGTGCGTGAGTGTGCGTGCTTTTTGTGTGGGGATGTCTATGTGCACAGTTTTAAAACATGTTTGTGTCGAGGATGGTTCCCTTTTGTTTCTGGCTCACGCGTTCGATTCTCGTCCGGGCGCTGACAGCGGAGGGACGCTCCCGGCGAGCTGCAGCCCCGAAGCCACACGCCACTTGCCTCGCGCCCTGCCCCGGCCCGGGGTGGTCACTGGAGCCCCTGCCCTCCCGTCCCCCTCTCACTCGCGCTCCGAACCTCTCGTTCGTTCTCGTTGTCTCTACTCGCTCGCTCGGCCTCTCGCCCGGCCTCTAAGAGTCGTTGGGGCCAGACGCTGCTTCCTTGCCTCCCGCCGAGGCCGCCGCCGCAGCCGCCGCCGCCGCCGCCGCTGCCGCCGCCCGAGCGGCACTGACGCCGGAGTCGTGCAGGATGAGGTCCGGGGACTCGGAACGGGGTGTCTCCAAGTTGCTGGCGTCAGTGTCACTGTCGCTGCCCTTTTTGCCACCGCCGCCCCCGTTGTGCGTCTTAATGTGTTTGCTCAGGTGGTCGCTGCGCATGAAGCGCTTGTTGCACACCGGACAGGCGAAGCGCTTCTCGCCCGTGTGAGTCCGCAGGTGCCGCTGCAGCTCGTCCGAGCGCGTGAAGCGCTTGCCGCAGAAGAGCCAGTTGCACACGAAGGGCCGCTCGCCCGTGTGCCAGCGCAGGTGCGCCTTCAGGTGCGACGTCTTGCCGTACACCTTGCCGCAGCCCGGGATGTGGCAGCTGTGCAGGCCCTTGCGCCGCAGGCTGGCTCCGGCCGGGCCCAGCCGCTCCGCCTCCTGGCAGTTGGGGCAGTCGCAGGTGGCGCGGCCGGAGTAGCGGCGGGCGGAGCGCGCTGAGCTCCCCCCGGCGGCCGCGGCCGCGGCGCCCGAGATCATGGCGCTGGCGGCGGCGGCTGCTACGGCGGCGCTGGAGTCCGAATAGGAGGGCAGCACCGGCTTGAAGCCGTCCTGGGCCAGCAGGTGCTGGCTGGTGGAGAGCAGGTGTGAGGCGGCGGCGGCCGAGGAGCCGAGGCCGGTGGAGCTGAAGGCCGAGTGCGTGAGCGAGCTGAAGTCGGGGTTGTAGGTGCCCAGCTGCGAGTGCAGCGAGGCCTGGGGGGCGCCCGAGTGCAGCGAACTCTGGAGCCCCCCAGCGGGGTTCTGCACTTCCAGCCACGAGCCTGGACTGCTGTGCACGTCCCACCACGACGACGCCGCTCCGTTGGTCACCTCTCCCGCAGCCAGCGTCGAGTGGAAGCCCGACTTGTACCACGACTCGTACGGGTGCGCCATGCCCACGCGCGGGTACAGGCCGTCGGCCGCCGTCGTGTGCACCTTGGAGATGAAGGCCGACTGGCCGCCCGCCTCCTGGGGGGACACCCCGGCCGCCGCGGCCGCCGCGGCCGCGGAGTTAGAGAAGAGGCCGCCGTAGTCGCTGCTGAAGGCGGACGACGTGGGCGACGTGGAGGCCAGGCAGAAGGCGCTGTTGGCGGCGCCGGAGCCTCCAGCCAGGCCGCCCGAGCCGCGGCCGCCAGTGGCCACGGCGAAGCCCGAGAGGCTGGAGCCGAGGTTACAGCTGGACGAGGAGCGCTTCCAGGGGTGAAAGCCGCCTTTAGCAAAGGCGCTCGACTCGGGCAGCGTCGTCAGCGGGCTAGTGTTGCCGATCTTGTTGCAGGTCGCCGCCAGCATGGCCAACGGGGTCGTTCCGAAGCGAGGCTCTTCCTAGAGTGGGTGGGGTGAGGGAGGGAGCGAGGAGGAGGGCAAGAGGAGGTGAGGGAAGAGACAAAGTGCACCCGTGAGCAGCCTCGTCCCGGCGGCTAATCCGTGGCTCCCCGGCCCGCGCCTCCTCCCCACGCGCTCGCGGTGGCTGCGCCAGGCTGGGGCGAACACAAACGCGAAGGTTTGGGCGCTGGAAAGTTGTTCTTCGGGGAGGCTATAAATTAAAGATGCCTCCGTGCCTCCGTTGCTGCAGCCCTTGCCTAGAACCGGACTTGGGTTGTTGCAGTAAGCCCGCTCCTTTCCCAGAAGCTCCCAAGTCGCCCTTCGGGATGAAGCACCAAGGTAAACACAGAGACAACAAACCCTGGGTGAGGGCGGAGGCGGCCGAACAGCGGCCCAGGGAAGGGAGAAACTTGGAGCACTCCTCCCAAGGGTGGCTACCACTTCTCTTTTTTAATAGAAAACATTAGCTTTAATGTTTACACACACACACCCCACCACCACCACCACCGATTATGAAAACAATAATTCAAGGATAACCGGCCAGCGACGATTTCAAAGTCACAGACCAACTGGGAAGCCGCGGAAATGTAAATGTTTATTAGCATGACTACATAGACTGCAAAACGATTAAGACTGTTTTCTGGAACCACCACTGTCGCACAACTGCAACAATCCCCAAAGCAAGGGGGTGTAAATCACTGGGGGAAGAAAAGAAACCTCTAGCTCTTCTTTAAGACCAAATAAAAAGGGAATTAACTTAAGAAATCCTTTTCTGGCAAAGGCATCTCCCAGGTTCCAAAAACTTGGAACGAGTCAGTCCCGGAAATGTGGAAAGTGCTTAAAGAAGCTGAAGCTGCGGTCCAGCAGCAACAGTTTCTCGGGAGCTACGGACCCCAAGAAGCCATAACGAAAAATTACTCCGGTTAAAACAAGCAAATACGTTGCCACACTTGCGACTTACCCCGAGTATAGACGTGGCCATAGCAGGTCTCTGGACTGCTCGGCGGGACCGGGAACCGGGCTGAGCCTGGCGGCTGCTCAGAGAAACTACTCGGGTCCCGGGCAGCTCCCACGTCCCCGCGCTCTCGCCGAGCGGACTCCGGGCTCCCGCCGGCTAAACTCAGCCTAAGTGCGAGGAGCACCCGCTTTGAAGTGCCGCTGGCTGCGCCTCTCGCCCAATGAGGGCGCAGGCAGAGCAGACGGGAGCTGCCACGCAGCCAATCAGACTCAACGAGGGGCCCGAGCCGGGGCTCCCGGCGCGTGCCAGTCAAGTCAGCTAGCTAGTGAGCTGGAGGGGGGGAAGGGGGGAGAGAGAGGGTGTCAGAGGAGGGGGGTGCAGGCGGGGGGAAGGGGGCACGGGCTGGGTACTGAAGAAATTACAGTGCAATTAAAAATTTACACACACACACCAAGCCAGTTTTAAGTACCGTTGAGACCCAGCCATAACCTTCCCCCCAACCATCCCGAGATGTTGCAAGTTAGGCTGACAGTCCTACTCTACTCCGGGTTTGTGGGAAAGGAGGCAGGAGTGTTGGGGGCGCCGAGGTAGAAGCCGCACCAGCAGGACCCAAGTGGAGACGGAAAATGTCAATGTTCATTTGTGTGTCCACACTCTTGCTTACGAAGCACAACTTAAGCTTCTACCATTATTTTCGCTTGCAATTTTATTATTGTCGTTTGTGTTCTAGCTAGTTCCTTATTCCACTGATTTAGTTTTACTCTCACTGTCACATCGAGGAGGGGGAGCGATGGGACAGATTCTCGGAGAAGAGCAAAACAGGCCTCTGAGTATAGGTCTACACCCGCAGACTCCTTGGGCGGGCCTGGCTGCACCCGCCATTTCCCCCCAGCGATCTAAGTGACTTCCTAATTGTCTCTCTGGCCTTTGACCTGAGGGGTAATACAAGTGCCACTCACGCCAGAAGCTTCTAGTGGTAATTGAGGGCACCCTTTGTACGGTTTCACCAGCGCCTAGATACCAGGTTAACCCAGTTGTCAAATATGACTAAACAGTGGGATGTACTGATTATCTGCCGGGTTCTGCTGGGGGCTGGCGTGGGGGCGGGAGACATCAGCCCATACAACACTCTGCACGAAGCTGCTTATTTTCACATTGTAACAACTTTGGAAACAGAGACCCGCGCCAGCGGCGTCCGCCCCCACCTCCACCTCCGCTGAAGCTGCAGCTTGCTCGGCTGTTTGTTTAACCCGGTGAAGATTTGCATGTCGCGTTTTAGCTTGGAGTCGAGTTTTCATGCCTCAGCTCCAACCCACTCCCACTCCAGACCGCCAGGGCCTGGAGAGGCTCCTCTGCAGGGCAAGGGCGCAGTGTTAAGAGATGCCTCTTAGCGCACTGATTTCGCCGACGTGCTGGAGAAGCCCCTCCCGGACCTTCACCCCGAGTGCAGAGAACCAGGCCACTCGTGGGCGCCCCCACATTCTGTAGGCTGGAAGCATCCTGAAGTCCTCCCCTGGACCTCGTCAGTGTGAAAAGAGGTGTCCTCAGACAGACAAGAGTGCGTCTTCGAGTCCTTCAGCAAATGCTGAGCTGTTTTTCTTTCTGGGCCCTGCTTTCTCTGTTTTCTTCCTGGGTAGCTGGAGACTGCTTTTGAACCAGAAATACCAGCACTCTCGGGTCGACTTGGGTACCCTTCCAAATCTACATTCTACTTTAAAATTTTTCTTCTTTTTTAAACTACCAACCCCAATGCTCCAGTGCAAAACACCCATTGTCGAGGAGGGGGAGCAAGTGAGAAGGACGTACAACGGTGCCCCCGGGGTTTTCTCTTCTCTTTTGCAAGATCTCTTGATCCAAAAGATCAACAGTGCGACAACGGTGACACTTCTTTCCACCCTAAGATGGAGCCTGCGTGCATCTTGATGCGCTCCGTGGGTGGGAGGGCTATGTGGATAGGTTTCTTTGCTTTTTGTTGAAACACTTATGCTAAGAATGCTTTGTTTGTTTGTTTAAAGTGATGAACGCACCAAGGAAATTATGACAGAGAAAATGGATAGAGCAGAGAGCAAGAAGACCAGCATAGCTATGAATGAAGTGTTGTGCCCTAGGAGACTGTAGTGGAATGGGGGGGGGGCGGTGAAAAGCCCCTGGGGGACGCAGGGTGAGGGGTTGAAGGAGAAATCAGGCGGCCTGGAAGAGCCAAAAAGCCCAGCAGGGGGACCCGGGAGCTATTCCCAACAGGTGACTTCTGCCCTGGAAGGAGAGCCTGGTCCTCCGCTTCCTATAGAGTTTCTGCGTCGATTTACTAATAGAGGGATTGTAAAGTGGCAGTGAGGCGTTTCCGACTCTCCCCGTGCAGCCCCGCAAGAGTAGCGCCGAGGTTTCCTCTGTCCACCTCCTCCCCCACCCCCAACACACCCTCTCCTTACGGAAACCTGACAAAGTAATAAATAAGACAATCCGAAAAGCCACTTAGCCCTGGTGACATTTTCAAGCCAACCATGTAAAACAGTTCTCGCAGACTCCTCGGGCGCCCGGCACCCTGCTCTTCTTCTTCTCTTCCCCTCCACTCCCCTCCCCTCCCCCTCCCGCCGTTTTCCACGGCGTTCCAGCTGTCAGACTCTAGACGTGGGCACTCGGATATTCCTTTAGATACACGCGACCGCATCACAATAAAAGTTAGGAAATCTTCCAAACGAACTTAGGCAAATACCCAGGCCCCTTCAACTCTAAGGTGAGGCCACAAGGAAATCTTTAGGACAAGTCCAGTTATTTATTTATTTTTTTGCCTGACAGATTTTTTTTTTTTCATCTTCTGAAAAATCTAGTTTTTAAACAAAGATCAATGTGTTATGCTAAAGTGTTGAGCTGACTGTTAAAACATTTGGGGAAATAATGACAATGTAACAAAGGCCTGGTTTGGAGTGAATCATCACCCTTTTAAAAGTTAAAGCAATTTTCAGGAGAATAGCTTTCAGCAAACGCTTTACATTATTCAAAACGGCCAAATAATGCTCTATTATAGCGCCTGAATGCTGCCAGTCAGCCCCTAAGTGCAATTTGTGCAAAGGCCCCGGTGCCTTATCTCCACTTCTTTATAAAGAGGTGAATATAAAACAATTTCTTCCAAACCCAGACAGAGAGCACGAAAATTGCTTCCCTTTCTGCAATCAGGGCAATTTAACTGGAGTGCAATTAGCACTATTAAATGTCGATTCTGCATAAACAAATCTGACTGAGCAGCGAAAGTGGGGTGAGAACCTCATATACACTGAAACTGATTTTTTAAAATTATGTATCCGGGTCCTTTACAATTGATCCGTGACGTTTTCGTCTTGGAATATATTTACATCGTAAATACTCTATGGTTAAATCAACATAATTTTTTGCAAAAAAAAATTCAATATGAATCCTAATAAAGAAGAATGGGGTAATTAAAGGGAAGAGTTCACTTCCTTTGAACAAATATTGTTTCTCCTATCTTGCTTCTCCGGAGAGCTTTGATCTGAGCAACTGCTCAAGTTGCTGTGTTTAGAAGGCAAAGCTGGGGAAACAATTCCGTCATTAGCGCTGATCCGAAGGATGGGAGCTCCTTTGCCACAGATAAAATGCTTCTCCCTGATGCACTGCAAGCAGGGTGGCGACTGGGAGGACCAGTTATTTTCTGAATACCTCGATACAGCAGCTGGTTAAATATTACTAAGTGGCTGCCAGGTCTGCCGGGAGTTTGACCCGGTGCAGAGTTTAGCCCTGGATATATTCCACGGAGGTGGGGTGAGATGGAGTTGGGAAGACATGAGAAAGTGGGCGGGAGGAGAGGCGTTGGGGGGAGGAGAAATCCAAGGATGTAGCCTTGGCTGCAAAGCCTGGGCTACCCGGACCAGGAGGCAGGAGGGGGTGGAGTAGGGAGGGAGGTTCAGGAGCCCAGACCATAAAAAGCATTTATCTGACCTGTCCTCCCACTGCCTTTATTTATTTATTTGCTAAGCCACAGTGCTCCCTTTTTGATTCATTTGTGCAATTAATTATGCTTTTCATTTGCATGATCTACACTAGAGCAGTGATTATCAGGTCAGCACGGTGTGGGAGTTAGGGAGATACATTAATAACTTGAATTAAAAAAAAAAAAAGGAAAGAAAAAGCTGCCCAGTGTACCAGCGTTGCCTGCCATGAGCAAGGGAGAAGGAAGCCCAGTATGTATGGTCTGTGGTGCCTGTTGAGTCAGGTCAATCCTTTCTACAGTTGGAGTTTTGTCCGTTGTGGATGAATATGAAGCACAGCCTTTGATTAGAGGTGAATCTTTTGTAGTTAACACATACTTATATTTTTTAAAGCACCAGAGATCAAATGGATGGAGAAAATTAATTGAAAATTGAGGAACTCTCCCACAATTTCTGTTGAGCTTTCATTTAATATTTGTCCTATAATGCCCTCATTCCAGCCTAACTCTAGCAAATAAGAGCCAGGAAGAATCAATAGGCCAATAGGACTTTCATCTTTTTTTTCTATCTCAGAGGTGTCACTGTTATTTAGAGGTGGTGAAAGATGCAAATCATTCTCACCTCTGTGGGATCTGCTGGAGATGTTGAAAATTCCTACTGTACTAAGTACAATATAAGTGTTTGCTACACAACTAATTTTCAGCTGGGCCATACATTTTAAGCTTGCCTTGATCTGTTTGTCTGAGCCAAAAATTCATTAACAATTAAAGGAAAGACTCTGGTGTGTCAAAGGAAGGAAGGTGACTGTAGCCTGTGTGATGATTTTAATGACTGCAATTATTGGAAGATTATTCAACAAGCACCATAGATTTGTTTACTGCATCACTCGGAAACTATAGGGGGCCTATTCGGCTTGGGGTTTTACCTTCCTCCTTCCCTTACCAACCACCACAGAAAGGTCTTAGACCTGAGCAAATGTGGCATTCTCTATTGGGTCTCTTATTTCTAAGAGCATCTCTACTGAAATTCTGTCTCAGCCAACTCTAATGGAACCACCTCTGAAGACAATAAAGGAATCTTTTC